CCAATCTTCGGAGAAGGCAATGGCAACCCAGTCAAGTACTCTTGTATGGAAAATCCCATGGATGGAGGAGCCTGGTAGGCTGCAGTCTATGGGGTCGCGAAGAGTTGGACATGGCTGAGTGACTTTACTTTCACTTTTCACTTTCATGCATTGGAGAAGGAAATGGCAACCCACTCCAGTGTTCTTGCCTGGAGAATCCCAGGGATGGGGGAGCCTGGTGGGCTGCTGTCTATGGGGTCACACAGAGTCGGACACAACTGAAGCGACTTAGCAGCAGCAGCAGCCTAGCAATCTTGATTACAACTTGAGCTTCATCCAGTCTGGCATTTTGCATGATGTACTCTGCATAGAAGTTAAATAAGCAGAGTGATAATATGCAGCTTTGATGTACTCCTTTCCCAATTTTGAACCAGTCAGTTGCTCCACGCCCAGTTCTGTTGCTTCTTGACCTGCATGTAGGTTTCTTGGGAGGCAGGTAAGGTGGTCTGGTATTCATGTCTCCAAGAATTTGCCACAGTTTGTTGTGATCCAGATAGTTAAAAGCATTAGCGTAGACAATGAAGCAGAAGTAGATGTTTTTCTGGAATTCCCTTACTTTCTTGATGATCCAACAGATGTTGGCAATTTGATCTCAGGTTCCTCTGCCTCTTTGAAACCCTGCTGGTACATCTGGATGTTCTTGGTCCCCTACTGCTGAAGCCTAGCTTGAAGGATTTTGAGCATAACCCACTAGCTTGTGAAATAAGTGCAATTGTATAGGTAGTTTAAACATTCTTTGACATTGCCCTTCTTTTGCTGTTTGGTTTTTTTCCTGAATTTGTTTGACTTTTACCTGCTCCCTCTTTTTTTCCTATTATAGTGCCTGATGGGTTGGTTTGGGAAAACTTCGTACAAACGTTGCCTGAGAGTGTCCTTGACTGTCTACCGGAGGTCCTGAACATGACCCTGTCTCATCAGGGCGACGAGTTGGGGATGCAGAGGGCCTGCGGCTGCACGGTCACCTGCTAATGGCACGGCCAGCGTTTCTTCTCTGTTGACTCAAGAGCGCATTTCTGTTTTGGTGCACGGGCTGCCAAGTGCCAGGTTCCATGTCATGCCCTGACTGGCTCCTCTGCTAGGGCCTCAGTGGTGGGGCCACTTCCGTCTCCAGGAACTGAAGCCCCACTGAGTTTGGTGGGGAAGGGTTTGGGCTCAGATGCAGGCTCTGAGTTGACGCTGCAAATTATTTGTCAAAGGGCCCAGACTCCTCGAGTCCCAGTCCAGGCTCTGGGAGATGACAGCCCATAGGCTTTGACAGACACCGGGAAACTCCTTCAAAGTTACAGAAACTTTTGTTCAGCTGGTGGTCAACAAAAGATGCAGTGAGGGTGGGAAATACTCATAGAGCCTCTGCAACTGATGCCAGGGAGTGATCCTGGAGCCCAGAAAACCCCATGGGAGAGACTCATGGAGCTAAAGTGAGGGCTACCCACCTTGGCCCTTCCCGTGTCAAGGTCAAGGTGTGGGCTGTCCGCTTCTGATGCGATTGTCTCCCTAGCAACTGTCTCCATGGCAGCGCCTCCTGCTGGACTCACGAAGGCTTACCGGGTCCCAGACCATGTTAAGCAATTGTGACTACACTAGTGAGGAGCCCATGATGACACACCATGGTGGTGGGTCTTTCTTTTGAAGAGTTGGAAGTCTTTGTGAAGGCTCACAGCCACGAATGACAGTAATGAAATGAAAATAAAACCTTTCAAGCCAAGTCCTCTGGATTTTCCTTTCTTTCTTTGTTTTTGATATGTGTGTGTAACAAAATGAAGCATATATTTAGGCGACTGTGATACGTTTTTTAATTTTTTTAAAGAAAACATCATCTCTAAAGCAATTCCCCATCACCTGGGCCCAATCACAAGCCCACAGGTAGACCCGGAGCCCACCTGGAAGTGAGGGGTTCATGGTGAGCTTCCTGATGTTGCGGGTTGTTAAGGCCTGTCTCTCTGTGCATGGTGCAAACTCCGCCCAGCCTGAGCAGCTGCAGAGGCTGCTAGGCAGGGTGCCTCAGACGGGGAGCAGGGTGCCCCTGGGAGCTGGCTGCAGGGCAAGCCCTGGAGCCCAGGGGTCACTCTGATCACACTCTCCCTAGGGAGAGGCCTGGGCAGGAGGTGGCTGCAGGCACCCAGGCCAGAAGGGAGCACCTGGAAGGAGGTGGATGGCCAGGATGGTGCCGTGTCGGGGAATGGCATGCTAGGACGGGGCTCCACAGAACCTTGTGCCTCTCTGGGCCTGCCTTCCAGGCTGGTTGCCCTGAAGGAAGCAGTGAGCCCCAAGGACAGAACCTGCCTGCTGGCCTCTGAGGAAGCGAAGGTGGAGTGTGGCCACCAGGGAGGTACTCGTGCACAGTCTCCGTGTTGGACACATTTCCTTCCTGAACTGTGCAGGCAAATAGCCTGACTGACAGGGTGATAGTAACAGAAGGACCAGAAATAAACTGGTTGGATGAGTTTAGGAAGTGTGCCTGATGAGCATACAGCACCCCTTGAGCATCCCAGGTCTTGACTTGGTTCTGGATATCCTCCATCACCTTTGACTTGCTTGACAAAGATTCCAGGACTGAGGGGTAAGTGGGAAATAGACCCCAGAGGCCACTGATGACGTCACGCTGCATCATCAGGCCGAGTCATAGGTGAGTATCAGGTGGGTATCTGTAGGTGGGACGGTGACTGCAACCATGAAAATAAAAGACACTTGCTCCTTGGAAGGAAAGCTGTGACAAACCTAGATAGTGTATTAAAAAGCAGAGACACCACTCTGCTGACAAAGGTCTGTATAGTCAAAGGTCTGTATAGCTATGGTTTTTCCAGTAGTCATGTATGAATGTGAGAGGTGGACTATAAAGAAGTTTGAGTGCTGAAGAAATGATGCTTTTGAACTGTAGTGCTGGAGAAGACTCTTGAGAGTCCCTTGGGTTGCAAGGAGATCAAACCAGTCAGTCTTAAAGGAAATCAACCCAGAATATTCATTGGAAGGACTGATGCTGAAGCTGAAGTTACAATACTTTGGCCATCTGATGGGAACAGCTGACTCACTGAAAAAGACCCAGATGCTGGGAAAGATTGAAGGCAGGAGGAGAAGGGGGTGGCAGAGGATGAGAGTGTTCGATGGCATTACTGATTCATTGGATATGAACTTGGGCAAACTTCGGGAGATGGTGAGGGACAGAGAAACCTGATGTGCTGCAGTCCATGGGGTCTCAAAGAGTTGGACAGGACTTGGCAACTGAGCAACAGCAATAACAATGGTCATTCGTTCTATGATGGCATCAATTTTTCGAGTTGTGATCAGTGGTTCTACCTTTTTCAAATTACATGATAAGAAAGTGCATCAAAAATTTCTGGACTTAGATGGCTCTTATGCAGAGCCCATCCTGGCCTCTGGCTGGCTCACTGCCCCTTGGGGTCCACGTCTCCATAATGGGCAAGGCTGTAGCAGAGCTTTAACAGCCTGCCACACTAGATGGTATGTTTCCCTGGGTTCTAAACTCAGAGGCGCCCAACCATTTCCAGTAATAAATTTGGTGAGAAAGTTTGTGTGCGTCAAGCTCTGAATAAAATTACACTTTCCTCTGAGTTTTATCATTTCTGCCATGCTGAAGAAGCATGGCATTTTTTATCTGCTTATTCGGCCGTGCCCCCAATATCACAGCTAAAACTCAGAAGACTGAGATAAGGAAAAGGGCAAAATAGAATGGTCAGAGAATTCAGAAGGCACATTTTCCATGCAATTATTTTTGTAATGGCAGAATAAACCCATTTATATAATGGAGTTACACTAATAAATAGTATATTGCGTTTTCCTATTGGAAAAGTAATGAAAGGATGATGTGAATCTGATGTAGGAAACCAGGTTCAAGAAGCTGTTTCCAGAGTCCCAAGGGAAAGTTGGATCCTCTGATTCCTTCCTTTTCTTGGAAAACCCAGCCTGTCTCTGTGACCTCAGGGTCTCTGTGCCCTCGTTCCAATCAGTCAGAGGACTCTTAACAACGTCTGCAGACACTAATTTAATCAAGCTTTTTGGACTACGTGTGGCTCCTACCTTAATTATACCATTGCCCCTTATATTAGGATGCTGAGAGGTGGGGGAAGTGGCCCAGTGGTCACCTGCTGGCCTTTTTTGCTTGTAAATCTGACTCTTTCAAGGGAGGGAGCCAGGTTCAGTACAATCCCCAGGGTGGTCACTTCCCAGGGAACCAGGCCCTGAGGAGCTGCAGTGCCCCATGTTGGGTGAGAAAGAATTCTCTGCAGCTGGAATTTTAGCAGCAAGTCCTGCAGTGACTTGTAATTCAGTTTTTATTTGTATAGGTTCTATTGGGGGTCAGAGAATACATAGTTTATTTACTAAAGTCATAGTAACCTTTGATTATTATATGCATTTTCTTAAACAACCCAATCTAATGGGCAGTGTGGGGACAGTGGTTAATAATACTGTATCATATTCTTGAAATTTGCCAAGGAGTAAATCCTATGTGCTCTCATCACAGGAAAAAAGTCAGGAAGGTGCCTGTGAGGGGAACGGGCTCGTCAGCTGGACGTGGCACTCATGTCCCCGTGTGGACACTTGTCCAGCATCACATCGTGCACCTTGAACTTATACAACTTTTATCTGCCAACAATACTTCCATAAAACTGGAAAATAATGCTGAGGACCAGCTTCCAGCTGCCCATGTGTGATTCAGGGACCCACAGAGTCTGGAAGTTGAGGTGGGCCCTTGCCTCAAGGACTGGGTTTCCTGCTCTGGGAGACTTCTCAGAAACACTAAGGGTGATGCTTGAAGACTTCCAAGTATAAGGCCTCAGAGCACAAATTTACTGACGAGTTAGGGACTGTCTAGAGGAGTATGGCACGTTATTTGCGGTTTATCCTGTGTGTGGGCACCTAATGGGGTGCGGATGTCTTCTTGAGCTGAGCCCCAGGGACGCCCCCAGTCTTGCTTGCCAAGCCTGCCAGGTGACAGGAGGCACTGGGGTGCAGCTGGGGGATCTGGGATGCTGCTTGCAGCCCCGGGGAGGGGGCAGGTAGCTCTGGGTGCTGTGGGAAAGGGGCCTGCAGGCAGGTGGCTGGCTGTGGACTGGTGATGGAACCGGCCCCCCAAATCTCCAAGATGGAGAGATATTGAGGAGGGGCTGTGAAGCCCCAACAACACCAAGAGTGAGTGGCATGCCAGGAGGGCCCAGGGCTCTGTGGGTCGCCTGAGAGGAGGGATTCGGGCGGTGGGTGGGGACGGGATGGAGTGGGGGCTGCCTTGATGCCCAGGCAGCAGCCCCGAGGGGGCTGTCCCAGCAGGAGCCAGTGAGGGAAGCCAGGCCCCAGGGGGCTTTCAGGTGCTGACTGGATGCGTCAGACCTGAGGCTTCAACAACCTCAGTGAGAGGACATTGGCTTTTGTACCTGCCAGTTTGTTTGTATCTATGACACACACGGGGCAGGTGACAAGGAAGAATCCCCCCTTAGGACCTGCTGGGCAGTGAGGGTTTTTGGCTTAAAAACACACTCCACATGTAACACAAAACAAAATAACACAACACAAACAGAAACCTGTATATGAGACCTGTAACCATGAGCTTGCACTTTTAATTCATATCCAATTAGAGGATCCATTACAAAAAGCAGTCTCTGAACTTCGATAGAAGACAGTGGGTACCATTGGTGGGTACCATCGGTGGGTACCATAGCCTCTGGCTTTACAATTCCGGCCCCATGAACACCACTCGCTGGCTTCCAGTGGGGTTGGCTGAGATTTAAGTGGAAAAGGGGCTTCTAATTGGTAAGTGACTCCTGGCTACTGAGATCCGCCCCTCACGACAGAGTAATGACAGCCTCACGTCACCCGATTAGCTACTGAGGCACCAATCCCATCCCACCTGGGTTCGGCCCAGTGGTCTCTGATCTCTGTGCTGTGGGGGCTCTAGAGAAGGATGGGGAGGTCTCTGCCACCAGGCCACTCACAAGAGGGGTCTGTGCAAATGAGCAGTGACCCGTGCAGGACGTAGTTTCAAACCAGAGCTGAAGTCCGCAGGCAGCCTGGGAGGTCTGCGGGCTGCTGGGGAGGGGGCGGGGGAGGGATGCTTTCTATTTGCCCTAAGGTTTACTCCACAGATTGATGCTAATCAGGTCCCCATCCCAGAGCTAATGAAGAGTCGGCAGCCTGGCCTGCGTTCAGCCCTCACTGTTTGTCCCAGAGCATTTAAATCTAATCACCAGCGGGAAATAAGGAATGAACAGAGCATAAAAGTGTCCCTCTGGTCTCTGCAGTGTGTTGGCAGTGAGGGAGGGGGAGGAGGAAGGATGGGGGAGGGAAGGGGAGGAGGAAGGAGGGAGGGAGGGGGAGGAGGGGGAGGAAGAAGGAGGTGGGGGAGGAGGGAGCGGGAAGACCACGGAAAGTCCTGGGCTGAGCCGCGTCCCCAGCTGCTTTGTGCTGAGCTGTGTGGCCGTGAGGAGTGTGCTGTCCCAGGTCACTATGACCCCAGATCACGTCTGGGTGATGGTGTCCTCACTTAGCTGCCCCAGAAGATGTCTGGGGGCCTGTGGATGACACGGGAGTCAGGAAAGGGGACAGAAACACCCCGTGGATCGTCCTGAGAGCCTTTGGGCTCGGGTGGGTGCAGGCAGGGAGGCCACGCAATCCCAGCTCCCCCAGAGCCTGACCCAGCTCCCAGAAAAGCACGTCTCGGATTTGTTCAGGTCACAGGCGGGATGGAAATGAGCTCCTGGGCTGCAGCTTTGCACATCCGCATTTAATAGACTTTCTCCACTGATAAAAGACCACTAATGAGTTCATTTTCAAGCTATTAAATTGGCTATAATAGCGGGTTCTGCTGATGATTGCAGGAGACCTGCTGGTCGCACTGGGCTTTGTCTCGTGTTAACTGTGTGCTGCCCGGCACTGCCGTCCACAGGAGCAGCGACAGGGACCGCTAGCCCCCCGCCTGTGCCCTCACCTCCTGACTCAGAGGTGCCCACACGGCCTCCTCTCACACTCATGAAATCGCTTAATCAGTTCACTTGTTCCTGGAGGTCTTCAGTCTGGAGCCAGAGTATCAGCCTCCTGTGGTTCACAAAGGAGGGACGGGAATTCACACTTAACCGCTGGGTCCTCTGCCCTCTGAAAGGTGCTTTATCCATGGGGTTTTGCCTGCAGCTGTGAAAAAGGCCTGGAAAAGACACTTCCCTGGGATCTGCTCATCTACCCTGGATCCTCAAGCAAGGGTTGGGGCTGTGAGCCACACGCTCGCTGGTGTGGATCCTGGGCCCTTTCCTCGTGCAGTTGAAATGAGTTTGTCCCTTGTGCGTCTGTGGTCATCACGACATGAGCAATTAGTGACTGGCCTCTGCAGGTGTCTGGCTTAAACTCACGTCTTCATTTAAAGGCCCAGTAATTAATAGCAGGCCTGTGTGCTGCCTCCCCTGCCCTTTTCATTAGGAGGGTCACAGGGCACCTTCAGAGCACTGCACAACGTGTCCATTTAGTATCATTTGTTTTTAGCTCTTTAAGCAAAGGTGCCCAGAGACTTTCAAGCCTGGCCAGCCACCAGTTAAACTGATTGCTGATTATTATTATTATTATTATTGCCTGTTTTCCTTTTAGAGATTGTTTTATGAGGAGGGGCCTGCAGGTCAGAGATGTTCCACTGCCTGGAGATAAACATGCAATAGTGAGTGACTGGGGCTTGCCCTGCAGGGCTGTGGACACGGCCCCCCTGGAACACGGCTACCTGGGAGGGGCAGTGGGGATAAGCACCTCACTCACACCAATTTCTCTACTGTCTCCCTGAGCAGCCCAATTGGAGGTCTGGGTGGAGCCAGGTGCTTCATGAGCGAAACCCTAGAACAAGGCCCTCTTCAATTTCGCACAGTTCTTTCTGCCAGCTGAGCTGGAGCTGGTGCCTCAGTGAGCCTCAGATGACTTTGCCATTTATCCGCCTTCTCATACCTCTTACTTGTTTTGTTGGAGGAGTTACCTGTCTGTGAGGTCATCTCCTGGGACAGGGCTGTGGGTCTGGGGCTGGGTGCATCGGTGAGAGAGGCCCTGGGAGGGGATGTGCTGCCCAGCCCTGCTGGCCCCTTGAAGCCCCTCTCTGGTCTCACCCATCACCTCCCTCAGCCCCTCCAGGCCCTCCGTGGCTCTCTGCCCAGCACACTGTCCGTACACGGTGCTCACATAGAACGCGTCCTGTCTTTCTCAGTAACACGTTCACCTGCCCCCTGCCCACATGTGGGACCCAGACCTGCCTTAGACGCATGTTCTCCACACCTGGGGGCATGTGGCTTTCCTTGGAAGTTCTACACAGGTCTTTGCAAAGGAGGGAAGGAGGGTCATTTTTAGTGACTGGCGCAGCTCTTCTGGGTAAAAGGCTGACAAGAATTATCGGGTACATGAGGGGCAAGCAAGCTGGGACAGCTGATGGGTGTCAAGACAGGTACTTTCAGTTCTGTCCCCTGAGGCCACGGCGCGGTCCGGCCACCACCAGCAGGGGGACCAGAGCCCTGGGGCCCCTCCACCGCCATCTGGTCCACAGGTGCCTCGAGGCCAAGAACTCTTTCCCCTTGTGTGCTAGTGCTGGCAAGGTCCCTGGGCACAGGAAGAGCCCACCAATGTGTGGATATTGCCTTCAACCTTATAACACAGCTTCAAAGATGACAACAAGACACCAGCTCTGTAAAGCCACACAGGAACCATTGCTGCCATCAAGGCCACAGACATGTCCCCTCCAGCGTCCCCTTGACCCCCTTTCTCACTACTCTGGCTTTGTGGTGAGGACACGTCATGTATGATGCATGCCCTCAGCAAACTCAGTGCACGATACACTGTATTAGCAACTCTATTAATGTGCTGTCCATCAGATCCTCCAGTGCTTATCCTTCTGCCCCATGGAAAACTTGTGCCCTTTGACCTCCATCTCCTCAACCCTCTCCCTCTTCCTGGGCAACCACCATGATACTCTCTGTGCCCTCAAGGTCCACCCCTGCAGTCGAGACCTCAGGACCTTCTACTCCAGGGGTGAGCTATATCCACGGCATGGGCGCTATTCACCTGTCAACCCTCATGCAGCCTGTTTCCACATCTAGGCTGTTGCGCACACCACCCTGGCCATGGGGGTGACCACAGGCACCTCTTCAAGGTGCTGATTAAATTCCCTGATACACTGCATCCAGAAGTGGGGTCATATGTATTGTTATCCTGAACTCTCCGAGTCGTACATATTAAACACACACAGCTTTTTAATGTGTCAGAAAATAAGTTGAACCCTTTGCTTGTAAGTTGTAAAGTTATAAAACCTACCAGAAAAATACCAAACACAGGAGGAGAGGGGAAAGGAAACCTTCCTCCACAGGCTCCTCTTTCCCTGAGTTCTCGTGGTGATTCTCACTCAGTCCACCGCTGAAAGGGGCTGGCATCTCTGTCTTACTCTCTGGACCATCAGGAGGCCCGTGGCCCAGGGCTGCCAAAACCTGCATGACTTGGTTCCTCTTTCAACTCACTTTAGGACGCATGGCTGGAGACCCTAGACAGGTGCAGGACATTTGATCCCGGGGGAAACCCACTCCCTTCCCTTTGGAGGTCTCCCATCTGCACAACATTCTCTCTCCAGTAGTGATTCTCTCCCCTCGAGCATTGCTAGTAGGACCCACATCCCCTGAGCACCGCACTCCGGACAGTTGGCGATTCCCAGATGCCTGCAAGGGGAGAACTCGGCTTCCGTTGGTGTCCTCTCCCCTCTGTCCTCGATGCCCGGTCCCCTCCCCTCTCCCTGGAAGCAAGGCCGTCCTTGTGTGACAGTCTTAAGACAGGAATATGACACGTACATTAGGCTGAAGGAAGGGAGAAAAAAATAATTTTGCCTTTGGCGTAATTTCAGCCCAGAAGGATAGGATTCATTCCAGACGACCTTAGCTCAAGGTGACTTGATATATTTTCCCAGCAATGAGATTTTTTGTTATCTCTCACACCCACCCTTTCCCTTCTGTGCAAAATCCTGCAGTAGCAAACAAACAAACAAAAAACAAATTAAAAAAGCACTTTAAAATAAATAGAAAATAAATAATAACAATGACAAGCCCTGGAAATGCCTGGTCCTCCCATTGACACAGGAGGGGTCCCACACAAGGGGTCTCACTGGCATACAGGCCAGGATGGCTGCCTCTCTGCTCTCACCTGTGCTGAGCCATCCCTGACTCCAACATCGAAAGAAGGGCCACAAGTCAAGGCACCACAGGGCTGAGGTTCCTCAAATCTAACCTACAGAAACTGCAAGGCCTTTTCAGGACTTAACCGTCCTGACCCTCCTCCAGGCCCCATAGCGCCTGTGCTCTGCCTGGGATTATCTGAAGCAGTGGCTGCAGGCTCGTTCTGGAGGCAGGCTCTGAGGGTCCCTTGTAGGGGGCAGAGAAAGCAGGAGTGGGGAGCAGCTGATGGCTCATACTGATCTGGGGAGGGGGCTGTGTCTTCTGTTTCTCTGCTGGGGGGCAGGGCAACTCTACATGAAGCAGGAGTGATCCTTCCACGTAGGGGCACATGTGGCATCCCCCAGATAACCGTGGAATAGTAGAAGGTGCTCCTGAAATTCTGTTGAAATGAATACTTTACAACAGTGGTAGCAGTTGCTTAGTAGTGATCACTGACTATTAATATTATTCATCTTTACAGCTCCAAGGCAGCCACTCATTTATAGATGAGAAAATCAGAGCCAAGAGAAGCTGAACATCTTGTTCAAATCAGGAGCAACATTAAAGCCCTAACTGGAGTGAATTCAGAGACTCTTCTGTTAACCCTTAGTTATCCACCTGACTCTCTACTTAAATGGAGGTGGGCAAGCTATGGCCCTGGGGCTGAATCCAGCTATTTTTCCTGTTTGTTTTCTTTCTGGTTTTGTGTGTGTTTATGTATGTATGTATTTTATCACCTGTAAGCTAACAATGCACCCATTTTTAAGTGGGTGGACTTTGAATGGCTTTGTAAACACCTACATAATATCCTGATTTTGCTTCTCAACCTCCAAATCTATTTACTCCATAAAATTTACTCCCGGAGGACAAGTCTGCTGAACTCTATTTTATTTTATTTATATTTTTTGCTGAACTCTGTTTTAAACTATTGGTATGTAGTGGCTGGCAACTGAAAGAAATTTTCTTCTAAGCTACAGGAGTGTCTGAAGTTTGGATAAAAGCCACTGACAATGAGTTCACCTATTATGGCACATACTGATTAAATGACTTTGAGCAAATCAATAGTGTTTCGAAGTTACAAAGGGTCTCATGCCAGCTCTTCAGTATATGTACACCAGAGACAAAAATAACTCTGCTATCAGACTAACATCTCAAGAATAGGGATGAATGGAAGGAGACATATGCAGGGAAAGACATTTACAACTAACCAACAAGGAAGCAACACAGTTCTTGGAAACCTCTGGGGCAGAATATGTTCTGATCATAACTGAAATGTGTGTCCTTACCCAAAATCACTTTGTGAAAAAATTTTAAAGCAAAACTATGAATTTCATGATTCTTCAGCAAGGTGTCCTTACATACTTTTTTTCTATTCTTATCACTACTATTTTGATGTGGACATCCACAAAGGTGTTCTTCAAACCTGGGGATTACCCATGATTTCAAAGAGAAATTTGAAAGTCAGCTGCAGCCACACTCTGATTTGTTCAGAATCTCAAGGAAGACAGTGCAGCCTCCAGAAACAAAAGTGACTTTTAAAGAAGGTGTTCATTTTAATTAATTTTGATTTGAGTAATCTATTAACAGCTGAGTGTGTCCAGGTTCCAGGGCTGTAATCTTCCTTGTCCACGAGTGAAGCTGGACTGGTCGTTATCGCCAGGTGTTGGCTTCAAAGGTGAAGCAGAGCTGGCGTGCCCTGACTAGCCGGTTTCTGCTGCTTTATGATTAGAGCGCCAGGGCCTGTGTCCTGAGCTCACAGGAGAGATAAGCTGCAGCTGGGCTGGGCACCGGAACAGCCAGCCAGCAGTTTCACACAGCCCAGCAGAGTCCACGGACTCAAGCAGTTTATTTCTCCAGGCTTACAAATTTGATTACTATAGAGTACAAAGCTATTAAAAATATGACCTTTCTATTTTTCATGCCTTGGCGAAAAGCCAGATAATAACTTTGTTTGACTTGGTCGGTATGATAGAGTGCTTATTCAGATGGAAATAAAATGACTTTTCTTTACTGGAAATTATACCTTGAAGTCTAGATGTCCATCATTGGCATAACACACAGACAGACACGTTAATTCAGGCTTGAAAGCAGCCGAAGCTGTTAAAGAAGGAAGTACAGCGTTTCCATCTTCTCGAGGGGAAAATGAGTATTTTTGTACAGATGTCATCAACTTAAAATGGTAAAAGGCAAAACTATTATTCTAGGACAAGTAAAGTAAAAAAATGTTGATTACACTGTATTATCAGAATATCAAAATGAGGCTTCATGGCAGCCTTGAAAGCAAATAAATAACATTTTATCATTATACCACGTCTTTTCCTAGACACTTAAAGCCAGGCAAAGCAAGTGCATTTAGTACATCAGCCATGGCTTTAAGTGGAACATTAGAAAATACCAAAAAAGCAATGGTTTTATTTTCCTAAATGATGGATCAACATGTGAAAGTTAATAAAACCCAGTGTTGCTATGTGCCTGCATCTGTGCATGCTAAGTAGCTTCAGTTGTGTCCGACTCTTTGTGACCCATGGAGTGTAGCCTGCCAGGTTCCTCTGTCCATGGGATTCTCCAGGCAAGACCACTGGAGTGGGTTATCGTGCCCTCCTCTACGGGATCTTTCCGACCCAGGGACTGAACCTATGTCTCTTTTGTCTCCTACATTAGCAGGAGGGTTCTTTACCACTGAGTCACCTGGGAAGCCCAGTGTTTCTATGAGAGTTTACAATGAAGGAAAATCCAGTGGGCTTTGTTGTCCAGTTCTCATTAGGAGAACAGGAGAGCAGGTTCCTTCAGTGTGTGTCAGCGGAAAAAAAATGTGTCTACCTCAGGACTTCTTGGAAGAATTTTATAAAATACCCTTTTCCTCTCAGTCAGGCAACAAGCAGACCTCTGAGGTCTGTGAACTTGCTTCCTCCACTGGCAGCCTTGCAGTGGAGTGCCTTTAAGCCTTCTACTGAGACGGGTTAGTGCCTGAGGCCTAACATTTTATTTTATTTTTTCGTTATTACGGGATGGTGCGAAGCTGGAATGGTGAAATAGGGTGCAGTGGAGCTCAGACAGCTGGCGGCTCCCCTGCTCTCAGGGGCGGCCGTGTGTTCCACAGTGGATGTGATGGCCTCCTTCTTGCCCTGTGAGGCCTGTCCAGCATCAATGGCCACCTGGGAAACCGTTCCCCTGGAAGGAAATGCTGTGTGGGCTCAGCCCCAACAATATAAGCCTCATGACCCGGAAGCATTCACTTCCATGGCCCGGTAGCATTTGTCTTGGAAGCAGGAAGGGGTGGAGACTCCGTGGTCACTGGGGCAGGTAGGGGCAGGTGGGGGCAGGTGGGGGGAGGTGGGCGTGGCCCTCTCACTGAAAGGGTCTTTCCCTGAAACCACAACTCTGGGTGTGGCCACTGGAGCCGTCAGTAATCAGAGTTGTCCCTCTGCCAGTGAAGATGCCACAGTTCCTTCAACAGGAGGCAAAGGGAACTGTATGGGCATGCCCACTTCCTCTGTCCTTGAGTTTTGGGCAGAGATGTCACTGACCCCAGTGGTCCCAGATGTGGGCAGGTCTGAGGGACATGTGGTGTTCACCAGCACTCTAATGTCCCTGGATGTGGTTACTGGCCAGCAAGGGTCTGTGGGAGTGAAGACTTGGGCGGGGACAGGCGCTGATGGCCACTAACTTTTGGTAGAGGAGCCACCCTCAGAGTAACCTCTGCTGGTGGGCCCTAGTGCTGCTCCTGTGTTGGGAACCTGAGTGTTTCTTTCAGGGAAAAAAGCCAACAAACAGGGGTCGAAGGAATTAGCAGGCGCTCCCTGCCTGCCTGTCCAGCTCTGCTCAGCCTGACCTCAGCTTTGTCTCACCTCTGGATGCAGCTGGCTACAGGCAAGGCTACTTCAGAGGTGGCAGAGGGCTGGGGATCCCCTCCCTGGGGGCAGAACCAACCTCTGGCACAGATTCTCTGAAGGGAGGGCTCCTGTCTGTGGCCCCCTCATGTTCCTCACCGCTCTGAGACTCCCCCTCCCCCATCATATGGCCATATTTACACCCAGGAGGATGCCATCTATGGCCTGCCCACACTGGGGCACCTATGTTCTAGTTTTTCTTTTAGCACATGTCCTATAGGTCAGTCATATAATTTCTCTGTAAATTTGAAGAAAAGTGGGCTTATGTATTTTTTTCTCATTTAAGCTCTTAAGAGTGTAGCTTTACTTTAAAAAATCCACCATCATTACTCTCACCCCTTTACTGCCATTCAAGAACTAGAAAAAAAAAATTGTTCAATGGATATTATAACATTTATTGTCTATCAATATCAACTTTTTAAACAAGTCTTCTATAAGTAACAAACTAAAGAGAAATTGCTGAAAGCCCATATACTTACAGGAAATGTTGATATAGTCAACCAAAAATTTTGTCATCATTTCTAGAAGTGATTTTTACACCAATGAGTCATTTTTTCCAGGTATCAGTGTCACTAAGTTTTAAGAGAGGTCACTTACCAGGGCTGAGGCAGTTAAAATCTGTGCCTTGGTGATGGACAGTAATTCTATGAATTAAAGAAATAGGATAAGGGCACTGTTTTAGTAGAGAAAACATTGCAGCAGGCTCAACAACAATAAAAAAATAAAATCCCTAAAAATCAATTGCAGGCAGGACTTCTAGCAATGGCCATTTGAAGAGATCAACAAATCCTTTCCCCAGGAAGCCGCTATAACCCTGAACATGCCGTCCCTCCCTGCAGGGTGGCGATTCTGCCAGGGCCAGGACAAGCTGTGAAGACCATAGCCTATGGCTGCACTCAGTGGTTCATTTCATTTGGAGCAAATGATGATGTGAAATAGTCAACAAAGGAAGTAAAGTACCACACTCAGTCATTCAGAGAGGGATCTGAGAAACAAAAAAGGCAGGAGACAAATGGAAAAAAGACAGCAAAATGGCAAGTGTAAATCTGGCCATATCAATGATTACATTATATATAAATGGTCTAAACAATCAAATAAAAATGGCAGAGTTTATAAGATTAGATAAAAAGGATTTAACTATAAGCTGTGTACAAGACACACAACACAGATTCAAATAAAAGTAAAAAGAATGGAAAAAATGCATACCATGCAAACAGTAACCCTAATCTCTTGAATCCATACATTTGCCATATGACATAGTAATTTCACACCCAGTGGTCTGCCCAGAGGAACAAAACAGTAGGGCCACATACAGGCACCAAAGGGAATATTCACTGGTGTTATTTTTGCAGATTGGAGTTGAGGTCAGCACATGTGTCCATCAACAATGAGGGATAAACAAGGGTGGACCATCTATCTACCTCATGAAACACCAGGCAGACAACAAAATACATGCTACAACGGGGGTGAGTCTCAAAACTGCACTGAGGGGAAGAAGCTAGAAGCAAACCACTCCAAACTGCCTTGTTCTATTTAAATGAAATTTCCCAAAGAGGCAAATGCAGAGGCAGTCTAGTCTACTCCTGGAATCCCACTTCCTCCATTTCACTTCCACACGAATATAAACAGTGCATTTTGGGGAGCATTTTGGTAATAGAACCAGATTTCACAAAGCCCACTTGAGCCCATGTTTTTGCCACTAGCCAGAGCTCCATCTTGACCCAGATACCCCACCGCCCCCCACCCTGTCCCCACCTTCTCCACAAGTGGAGCTGGTGCCCAGACTCTGGCCTCCCCTGGGACTCCAAGTTTGCCTGGTTTTGCTCTTCCCTGAGAGTAGATAATGTGTGATTTTAGAGGAGTGTTTCCTGCTAGGTGCATGGACCCTGCATCCCAGGAAGGTAGAAGGCCCCTTGAGAACAGACTCTCCAGCGTGAGGATGATGCCTGGCCCTGCCTTCCCTAACGCTCACAGAGCCCAGTAGGTGAACGTGGCATTTAACGCTCACACAGCCCAGGGGTTGACACCGCTGTTCACCTTGTCCTATGCAGGATGCTAGTGATGGACAATAAGGTGAGGTGATCTGCCTGGAAACTGGTAAGAACCCGCATGGCCTCCATTTTAAACCATTAAAGACTGAGATTCTCCCCAGAGTTTCTCATGGAACCAGAGGCACAGTTAGCTTTTTCTGCAGTGTGGCTTTTCAACAGGTGATTTCAGTCATGAGCCATCCTGTCTTGCCACTTTGTTTTTTTTTTTTTTTTTCTGTCTTGCCACTTTGAAACACAGGCCCAGGGCAGTCTGGGAGCTGGTGTTTTTCCAGGCTCAGCTGACAGTTCTCAGAGCAGCAAAGCACACAAACGGTGAAGACTATAATCACAAACCCAGTGAATCTTCATGTGGTTATGACAATTCTCTACCTTGAAAAATAACATTGATTGATATGTTTTTTAGAGACTGACATATGTAACTCTTCATTAAAAAATTATTAAATAACTCCTTGAAATGAAAAGGCAGTCGTGTAATTAATAGTTATGCACTGCATGACAGCATAATTATTCATTACCAAAATGCAGGAGCAAAGTGACTTCTAATTTCATCCTCAGAGTCTTTGAAGGGAAAAAAGTACTTTAAAAGGAAGTAAGCTGGAAAGAGAGGACAGCTTTTGTAAGCACTTGAGATCCTCCTTGACTTGAAAGAAAAAAAACTGAAATGACAGATGATGTCATGCTATATTATTTAAGGAGAGGCAAGTGAATTAAAAACACATGTATAATTCATTAAAAATAGATTTTTAAAGTGTACACATAGGGGGGTTCCTAGCCCTTTCACCTTTATTGTTGTTTTACCTACAGATTATTTTTTTGAGCTCTCTGGGAAAATGTGAATTTATCTGTCTGTTTGGAATTGGCAAAACGCTTCTATAAGTTATTCAGAATTAATGAGTCCTGAGACCTGGTCCCAAGAGACGTGCTTACAGTCTGTTTTCTGTGACATGACAAGGAATTTGGGCTGACTCAAGTCTGGGTCCTGGGCTGAGTGTTAGGCTGAGGCCTTGCTCACCTTTTACCCTCATTCGAGAGAGAGCAGCCTTCTCCATGGTAACCAGGGCCTAGGAAATAAATGTAAAACCAGACCGTGCGGCCCCTTGCAGGCGAGTGAGGTGTCTGGGGCTGAGGCCAGCATGGATGAACTTATGGGGACCGTGGTCTGGACTGCTGACCATTGGTTGGGTTGGCGGGACCAGGGGCAGCAGGGTCAGGCCTCAGTAAGGAAATGGGACTTGGGGCTGGGTTTGTGTTCTGACAAGTCTAAGTTTATGGTCTTTAGGAATCGGGAGTGGGTAAGGGTTTCAGAGCATTATCAAGTTGGCATTTAGCAAGACTAGGCTGACGGTAAGACCCGGAATGGAGAAGTATCATGAGCAGGCAACAGACTCAATCTTGGGTGATGGCCTTCAGACCCTGGGGCTCAGACAGCCCAGGTCAAAGGTCTTGGCCTCTGTCTATCCACCCTGTTTCCTCTCTGGAAACCTGCTACCTAACTCCTCACCCCGCTAAGCTGGCTGGCTGCTCCCTGCCCCTGTCCACAGGAGGTCAGCTCCTCAGTCTTGTCTGCCTCTTTCCTGCTCTTTCTTTCGTGTGGATGCTGGTCTGGACTGGACTTCCAACCAGACTCTGCACCTGGCCTTCATCTTCAGCCTGTCTTGACCTTTCACTGCCTGACCTCCTCTGCTACCTGGGAGAAGAGACACCTCTTCTCCTCTGTTACTACAAGGGGCTGGCCCTGGGGACAAGTATTTGTGGCCATTATCTACAGAGGACTGATTTCAACTCAGAACTCACAGCCACTGCCTGTCTTCCGTGGTATTTTGAGGCCACACCTGGGCTCAACAAGGAAGAGCAATGGGAATGATTTGCTGGGGCCATAGGTAAGGTGGGGGTAGCTGTAGTCACCCCAGATGTCTGTCTTTCCTTTGACCGATCGAGAGTCATTCCTGAAGTAGCCTACATATTCTGAGCTTGGCTAATTCTGTATTTTGTGTAACCAGATTCAAGTGTCTGCCCTGGTTTTCTGCCTGTGTTCTCACTCATCAAAACCCACCATGGGCCTCCTCCCCTGCCTGCCCTGCTCCTGTCTCCTTACCTGACTAGCGGGTCCTCCTTCCACCCCAGGCTCTGGTCCCATGTCCCACCCATTTGTCCTGTCTGCGTGCGTGCTTGTTGGGCCTGGCTGCATGGGTCTGCCTGGGCTCCCCCTGTGCCCTGCAGATGACCCTCAGTAAACTGCTAGTTCCTCAAGGACTCAGGTGAGTGCATACATTTTAACAGCCGATGTGCAGAAGGGGCTGACGAGCTTCAGATTGATTTATCGATTTGGAGGTTGCTTTTCTAGCCCCAGTCACTGCAGATTAGAGTCCTGGGAGATTGTATCACAGAACCCAAGCCCTGAAAGGACCCTGGAGACCAGGAGGCACATGGTTCTGTTTGGAGAGTGGGGCCGGGCTGCACGTTCAGGGCTGCCTGCTTGAAGCGAAAGACAGAAGTGCCTGCCAGTTCTTTCTCTTGATTGCCTTTCTGTTCTAATTTCTTTCTTTTTTTTTTTTTTTTTTTGCTATCTCATTGCTTTCTTACATCTGTTGGAGGCTAAAGAGCAGAGCCCAGTGTAACACTCCAGTCTGACTTGACACTTAAATCTCTGTCTTTGCACAGACCTGATGCCAAAGTATAAAAAACCACACACTGTGGGAACTTCACATGTGAGGAGCAAGTCCTTCTGCTGCTGAGAGGGCCCTCTCAGGACTCCCTGGCAACACTGGGCAGACCCATCGTGTTCCTGAGTCGGCTTCTGGGTGGGAAAGATGCCCTGGAGGATGGCATGGCAACCTGCTTCAGGATTCTTGCCTGGAGAATCCCATGGACAGAGGAACCTGGTGCACTACAGTCCAGGGGGCCAAGAAGAGTCAGACATGACTGAGCGACTTTCACTTTCACTTCACCTCCATCTGCAGGGCTCTGGCCTGGGAGGCCCTGTTGAGTATGTGCTCTGGGTGGTCCCTCTGTGACCAGGCCAGGCCAGCTGCATGTCCACGGAAGACAGAGGCACTGGGGATTCCCCAGGACACTCCATCCTCAGAGAGCTGGTGAGCCGCACCTAATGGGAAGTGAGTAAACAACACCTGGAGACAGGTCTCAGATTCTTCTTCCTGCTTCTCCTGAGCTGCTTGCAGGGGGATATGCACTAGCACATATATCTTAAAGGACCAGTGGGGCCCTGTAAGTGCTTTGTGACAGCTGAGTATAAACCCGGGGTGTGGTGGTGGTCCCGTGATTAATTGTGCTCCGTGGACATTAGGCTGTGCTACTATCAGCGGCTTGCTGCTCAACACTTGCTAGGCAGTTAATTATTGTTGTGTGGCTCCAAGGAATGTTTTCAAAACATTTTAGAGTTCTGTTATAGAGATGGCATAGGGAGGGGTTTAATAAGCCACTATCATACACAAGAAAGACAAATGTATTTTAAGACGTGAAAATAATGGCTTTTCCTTCCCAAGCTATTGCTGACAAAAAAAATGTATTCCTAGTATTCCATTGCTTGTCAGCAATGAGTCTCACCTTAAGCCCAGTTTTATTCTGCACACAAGAGGGACAGTGTCCCCTGAGGGTTAAGAAGGTATGTCAGAAGAAAGGGAAGGGATTAGAGTCCTGGGTGTTTCAGCGTGATCTTTACACACTCCATCCAGCACTCATTAGAGGCCCTCTTGCAGTTGGGGTAGATCAGAAAGTATTTATTGGTGAGACTGTTTCATTTTGTAAATGATGGAGAAAACAAAATTACATGTATGTGTTTTCTCAGTCCTCTCCCGCCAGGCCACAGACTCAGCACATGGAGACAATAGGGCCACTCCCCTGAAATTCTCTGGTCCCCATCTGGTGTAGGCAGCTCACAGAAGTGACCTTGGAGGCCTGGTTGTTCTCAACACTGATCCTTTAAGCTTAGAGATGGACTCACCAGTGACCATCTGGATCAACAGTGCACAAGTCCTACTCCCAAGCTAGAGGTTCTCCCTCGTCAGCTCCCTTGGGTTGATCCCCAACCCAAGAAGGCCCCTCTCTCCTTTCAAGTGTGCAGGTTATAATCGCTCCAGTTGTAAGAAGTCAACCTGCCAAGTTGCGTCTCACACTCAGGGACATTCCTGCTTTCATCTTTTTTACTGTGACATGAAAGTCATTTCCAGAGCTTCAGAAGCAACATAGTATCTACACAATTTTTCCAGTTGATACACTTTAAAGACGTACCACAAAATTAAAAGATGCTTGCTCCTTGGAAGAAAAGCTATGACAAACCTAGACAGCATATTAAAAAGCAGAGACATCACTTCGCCAACAAAAGTCCATATAGCCAAAGCTGTGTTTTTTTCTGGTAATCATGTATGGATGTGAGAGCTGGACCATAAAGAAGACTGAGTGTCAAAGAACTGATGCTTTCAAATTGTGGTGCTAGAGAAGACTGTTGAGAGTCCCTTGGACCACAAGGAGATCAAACCAGTCAATCCTAAAGGAAATCAACCCTGAGTATTCATTGGAAGGATTGATGCTGAAGCTGAAGCTCCAGTACTTTTAGCCACCTGATGTGAAAAGCTGACTCATTAGAAAAGATACTGATGCTGGGAAAGATTGAGGGCAGGAGGAGAAGGGGTGGCAGAGGATAAGATATTTAGATAACATCACTGACTCAATGGACATGAGTTTGAGCAAACTCCAGGTGATAGTGAAGGACAGGAAGCCTGGCATGTTGCAGTTCATGGGGTCACAAGAAGTCGGATATGACTTAGTGACTAAACAACAACAAAGACATATATATCTCTGTGTATTAAAAATACTTTAATGAATTTTGTTTCATTACCAAAAGAACAAATAGTGGTAATTGAAAGCATTATAAGTGTGCAAATATTAATATAATCCAGCTTTAACTAGCTCTGAGAAGTTTCTCACAAAACCAGTAGTTACTTTCCAAAACAAACACTTGTTCATGTTTCTGGTCTATTTTCATTCTGCCACAGCTGGATGCAGTTAAGCCAACCAATCTGTATTTATAGGAGCCAATGCTCGTTTAAACCTTCGAAGGCGGGTATAAACTTAAACGTTTCCCTGAATTCACTACATGTGAACTAAATTAAGTGTATTTGTGAAACTGAGAAGATCATAAGATACTTTGGGAATTTATGGCATTTTTAGTTTTACGTTTATCTTACATACATCAATGTGTCTATCACCCCTGGTCATTAAGGTTAAATGTGTACAATTTTAATAGGTTATCTTGAGAAGGACCATCTTCATTCATTATTTAAACCATTTCTCAGGGTGCAATGTTCATACATGAGCTCACTCAGGAGGAGACTTTTGAGTCCTGTGCCTGCTCTGGACAGAGTGGTGCTGGCAGGTGCGGTGCCTGGGCATGACATCTTTTTCGTGCATGTCCAGTGTGTGTCATGGGTGAATGTCCAGTGTGTGTCATGGGTGACTTGCAGCCTCTGAAAGGTCCTAATCTGGGATGGTGTGAGCCCTTCCATCATGACCATGCTCACCAGGCTTGCCCGCCGACAGCACCCACCCTGAGAGGTCCAAGCCAACCGTGACTTGGCCCATAGCCTGTCATCACCTCCAAATAGAAGCCTCCCTATGTGGCTGCCCTGAGCCACTCCATGCTCCCCCTCTGGGGAAATCCTTCCTGGAGCTCAAGCACCTACCATCCATGGGTCCTTGTCCTCTGGAGGCGGAGTCTGTGGCCACATTCCTCCCCAGCATTTACGACCATCATTAAGCCACTCTCCAGGTTCCTCTGTGTCACATGGGGGTGATCATGGCCCCTTACTCTTCCCTCCATTGTCCCTCAAGCCCGGCTTTGGCTTCTGTCTGAGCCTCGCTGCTCTCATTCTGGCCATTCCCGGGGTGTTATTAAGGTGTCACTTCACTTCCCAAAGGGGAGGCTCCTGGCCTGGCACACAGATGACCAAGAGCATCGTGAAGAACCTGAGTCAGAGAAAGACAGAGGCTGCCTGGAGGTGCGGGCTCATGCATGCAATTCATGCCCTCCTCCCGGGGCTCTGAGGCATGGACTTGGGGGCACTTAGACCTTCCTCACGTGCAACTGTACAGTGCTGTACCCTAGGTAATGGCTTTCTAGCACAAATCATATGGGAAACAGCTTGTCAGAAGCTGAGCCAGGGGTCAAGCGACAGCAGGGCTGAGGGAAAAACCAGGTAACAAGCTGGTGACAGTGGTCGCAATGGTGAAAAGCATAGCAGAAAACGTTGCCTGTTTAACTTGAGGGTGTTCTACTCGCATCCACAGAACCACAAGGAGAGGAGAAGAGCAATGTGTCCAGGACAACTTGGAAGACACAGTATTTCAACTTGTTCAGTTTCACTATATATATGATATTTTAAAATAATTTCCAGTCAACAATCTGGTTGCTTTTAACTTTTGGCACTTAGAAGAACAGGTCATTTTTTTTTTCTGAAAAATGTCATTATGACTTACACTCTTTCATTATTGAAGGCTAGTGCCTTGAAACGTTGTAGGCAGGTGTCCCCGATATGACTGTGCAAGAGACACCTGCCTGTGTTTGTCTCCTGCCAAGGGTGCTATCTTGTTTAAGGATACTGAGGTTCCTTGATGAGTGGATCTGCTGGAGACACTGTTAGACACGGGAGCCCCATTCCTGTGGAATCCTTTGGACTCTCAGCCCTGCTGGTCTCAGAGCAGGAAGGAGGAGGAGTGACAGGTGGCATCTCCCACTGGGTGGCCTCACGGGCATCATGCTCTTCTCTGGCCATAGCCATGATCACAGTGATTCCTAGAGGAAATGTGTCTAATGAAAGCCCACATGTTCTTGAGAAGCTAACGTGCTCTCCTTGAGATGGGTAAGACGTTTTCTTACATAATTACTCTCAACTTGGAGCTTAACGTCTTCAAGTTCTTTTACATCAACTAACTCACTTGTTCTGGACACTATAAAGCTAAACAGGATCCTTGCAGGATGTAGGGGAAACATTGCAATGAGACAGGCTCTGTCCTGACCTGTACAGGAGGCTCATGACCTCGCCTGGCTGGGCTCCATGCAGAGCTGTTACGTTTTCCTGTGGGGCTGGGCTGTGACCCTCCAGAGAGGTGCCTCTGCACAGAAAGGAGACTCTACCAGCAGAGCGAAGATGCTGCCACATACTCTATTTCTCCAGGGGTATTTGTGTCAGGGTGCCAGGTGGGAGAACAGAGATTAAAATGACAAATGCATTGGTGGCTGTGAAAAAATACAAATATTTTTGTGTGAAAGTCGCTAAGTCACGTCCGACTCTTTGCCACCCCATGGACTGTAGCCCACCAGACTCCTCTGTCCATGGGATTCTCCAGGCAAGAATGGTGGAGTGGGTTGCTATTTCCTTCTCAAAGTGATCTTCCCAACCCAGGGATCAAACCTGTGTCTCCTGCATTGCAAACAGATTATCATCTGAGCCACCAGGGAAGCCTGGGGCTCGCCCAGCCAGCAGACAAAGCCTTTGAGGTTTGGGCAGGGAACAAGTATTTTTAATTTCTTTACTGGGGTAACGCTGATTTATAACATCGTACGTGTCTGGGTAAACATCATGTTTCTGTTCCTTTGCATGGAGGTTGTCTTTAACTGGAGAGAACTGTACTGCAATGAGTAGTTTCCTCTCCAGCTCCCCTTGGCCCCCAGTAGCCTTCCTAAATTACCCTGTCAAGTTCAACATGTAATATAAATGAAGCAACTTTTAATCATTTCAGGGGAGACGCACTAAGACAGATGTAGATATTACACTTCAATCTAAGGAAATAGCCTCAAAATGTCATTAACTTTTGAATTAACAATGAGCCCTGATTGTTTCAGAAAAGGTGACATATTTCCCCATTTAGAGTTTGGGACAAGAAGTTAATTTAAATGCCAAAAGTACATATATTTGAGTAACATGATGTCAAATAAATCTTTTAGCATTAATATAAAAATTGCATTTATAAAAGCTATAATGAATGTAGCTAAAGGCTCGTTTTCTTAAACAGTTTTACTCGATTGAGACCCTCCCTATAAAGCTTCAGTCTATTGTTCCACTTTCATTAGTGATTTTTTTCCAGGCCAGTTATAGTAAAGGGTATGTATTGCAAGCTAATACGCACCAAGCATCGACTACAGGACAAGCATTGTTCCTGACGCTCTATGTGCCTCATCTAGTTCTGACGATAGCCCCATGAGGCAGCTCATTTTGTTATCACCCTTTTTCAGGGAGAAAGTTAGGCTTTGGATGAAGTGAGTTTTCTTGGGGTGGGGGGGACATATCTGTAAACACTGGCTCTCCAGGAACGTGCCTACTTCTCCCAGGAGCTCCTTCCCTCTCTGGACCTGTATCCACCTGCCATAGCCATCAGTACTGCCTCTGGCCGCGGGGGAAGACAAGCTGCCCTGTCTGAACGTCTTCCATGTGTTAGCACGGTCACAGGGCCACTGAGGTCCCAAGGTCTGTACCCACCTAGCAGGGAGCGGTGCTCCTTGTTTTCACTACCTGCCCCGTATCCACAGCAGGCCAGGCAGGAAGGGACAGTCTCACTGAGCTTCTGTTTTGGGACACAGGGCTGTTATCCTTCATTAGGTCAAGGGGTATTTACAACTGGGGTACCAGTGACACAGAAGAGCGTCTGCTGGTGTCAGAAAGTTCTAGAAGAATGAGAGGAGCCACAGTCTTAGGAATGACCTGGTTTCTGTCCCCTCCACTGGTTGGCCATCTGGGAGCCGGGCTCAGAGCCTGTGCTGTGAATGCTGCTGGCTGGAGAGCCACCCCCTCTGCCATGTCCAGGGGCTCCCAGGGAGCCCTCGCTGTGGTCCAGACTACCTTTCTTCAGCTGTTCCTCCTCTCCCTGGCCCCCAGACCAACTGAGAGCAGCCAGGGAGGAAGTGTTTGCTCCACACTAATAACAGGAGGCTTTAGCCGGCACACCAACTCTACCCAGGTCCCACATCACGAACTGCTGGAGCCCAGGCACAGCCGCAGGTCCTCCACGTGCCCTTGGAAAGGGTCTTCAAGTCGACTCCAGCTCGGAGAGAAGTTCAGGACCCACCGGACACCAGGCCAGCAGTCAGCAGAATGTTCTAACCCCACTGCTCACAAATGTTTGGATGCTACTGGCCGAGGGGGTATGGTAGCTATGCTTACACACCCCCATGATGGGGAGCTCACTACCTACAAAACATGTCCCCAGTTTTCTCCAAGGAAGTCTATTTTATCTGCAGGTTGTTGGAGACACTCAGCTTGACTGTCTCCCTAACTTATGCTTGATGATCAGAGTCTAACTTCTTAGACTGATGGGGTTAAATCTAAGCTCATCCTAATGTATAGCTCTTTAATGGGGACAAGCAGGGAGGGAGAAGTGGGATATTATTTTTCCCTTTCAGTATAGTAATCACTAGTGATGTTTAAAAGAAAGTGGGTGAAAAGTGACAAATGAGCAAAAAATTCTACCTTTTAGTAAAGGTTAAAAGCAAGTGTCAGACCTCACAGTTGATCACTGCTAAGGGGACTTCAGTTGGCCCATTAGCATTTTAACTTGAAGTGTGAAGAAAATGCGACTGATGGAGAAACAGCAAAAAATCGGCTGAGGCTCTAAAGTACAAGAGTAAGCTGGTCAAGTCAAACATTTTAGACAAAGGACCAGCCTAAGTGAAGTCTCTGGTTGTCTGGGAGACTCACAGAGCTGTGTGAGATATCCTGTGTGTGTATATTTTATATGTGTGCACGCACGCATACATATACATTTAACATACTTTCAATACATATTTTTATGGTAGATCTTCAGAAACATAAGTCAACTATATAAAAAATATTTTCTGATTTCCTTGTCTACGTGGGTTGAAAAAATATATTAGTGCAGAAATTCCTTTTTAAAAGGAAACTAATGGCTGATAATGAGTTTTTATAATATAAAGTAGGGAATAAAGAAGAAATATCCAGATGAAACAGCCTGGTAGACCCAGCACACACTGACAGGGTAAAAGCTGCCCTTTATTTCTCCCTGGCAAAAACAGCAAGATTCTAAAATTTATTCTTAGCTACAGGTAATGCATACTATGAACCCATTAAGAGTTAAAGCTTTTAGGGAAAAAAAAAAGATTGCTTCTAATTGCTTTTATCCTGAGGCTGAGGTGTTATTGCGGAAAGGTAAGAATTATTATAACTACATCTAAGAAAAGTTTCAGTAAACTGTAAATACATATTCAATTTACTGAATTGAAAAACACCTGCAGTTCTTGTGGAAGCCACATGTTACCAGAGAGAGCAATCGTTTTATTTAATGCCTGATATAAAACAGCTCATAAAGTAATCTCCGGGCACTCTGATCTGAATTGGCACTGGGAAGGAATGAAACATCTCCCAAAGGTTAAGAAGCCAGTGGGTTCCACGCAGAGCATCAGCAGGAGGTGGGTGTGCTACTGTGTGGACCTGCCATTCTAGGAACTTCCCAGGATGTGACAAGACCGCCCCACATCAGCTCTGAAAACCGTGCAGTGTTCTTTAAACCAGGGTGTTTTTTTTTTCTTAAAGAAAAGGACAGGTCTGCATTTGTTTCTGGAGTGTAGAAGCTGT